TATTAGCCAGCATCCAGTGGGGCCATCCTGAGCCCAGTGAACTATGCTGGTGTGCCACCTGATGACAAGAGCTCAGAGAGGGGCTCTCTTTCTAGAGGCCTGGTCTTTCATGCCAGGAATATGGTAGAATTCTAGGGCTCCAGACTTCAATTTAGAGATACACTGGATTCTCACATGGCCAGGAAGTTCTTGTTTCTCAAACTTGGGGAATAAAGCCAAATCGTATAGACTGTTAAGCTATTACCCTGAAATATTCACCCAACCAGTCTTTTTTTTTTTTTTTTTGAGACAGAGTCTTGCTCTGTCACCCAGGTTGGAGTTCAGTGGTGTGATCTCAGCTCACTGAAACCTCCGCCTCCTGGGTTCAAGTGATTCTGCTGCCTCAGCCTTCTGAGTAGCTGGTATTACAGGCATATGCCACCACACCCAGCTAATTTTTGTATTTTTAGTAGAGACGGGGTTTCACCATGTTGGTCAGGCTGCTCTCAAACTTCTGACTTCATAATACCCCCCTCCCCCCAACTTTGGCCTCCCTCCCAAATTGTTGGGATTATAGGTGTGAGCCACCACACCCAGCCACACCCAACCAATCTATCACTGGCAAATACTAAGTTTCCATGTGCCCAGCTCCATACCAGACTACGGGAGATAAGAATGACAGTTTCCTTTCCCTGTCCTCCACATGGCAGGTGAGATGGCTAAGAACTAAAATTTGCAGATGCTTGACTATCAGTTTACAAAGCCTACTCAATTATCATCATAACTCCCTTGGGATTAGATTTGGGTAGACAGAATCATCATCACTAATAAGTGAGGTAAAAGAGAACCCCAAGTAGACTAAATAATTTTCTCAGGACAACACAGTAAGTAGCAGAGGCAGGACTAAATCCTAGGTCTTCTGATTTCTTACACACTCACTGCCAGCAGCAACAGTCCACAGGTCTAGAAAAGACTTAAAAATCACACAGAGAAAGCAGGGGAGCCCTATTCTGGGCTTAAAGATAATACCTTAATGCAAAGCCCAGAAAAGTATGTTAGTTCTATCTGGGGAGGTGGGGGTGCATCCTTTCTTGATAAACAGAAGCACTGATTAAAGACCAAGGCTGGTGGTAAGACCACAGAAGGGTCCATTAATGTCCAGAAGGACTCGTGGGTGGGTGGTGAGTCTTTAGGAGTTTTATCTGCACTGTGGATAAACCCTGGTTTTGTTCCTTATCAGTAGGTCTTGTGCAGTGGAGATATAACTGTGGTATAACATGCAGAAGTTTTGGTATAACAATGACCGAGTGACCAAAAAGCAACAGGGGCAGCTCTGGGAGATAAGAACATGGGGGATTTCATGGCCTTTGGGTGGAGCCAGGAGGGGGCAAGTGAATTCTAAAGCAGAATTTGTTGCCATGGCTTGAGCAACCAATGAAGCAGAGAGACTTTAAGGACTCAATGAAGTGTAAGAATACCAGATGCTCCTGTAAGATGGACTTGAACTCTGTAAAGTGGAAAGGACTTTATAAGTTCTTCCTCATGTGGAATGAAAACAACTCCCACCCACAGGTCTAGGTTGTGCCCTCTGGAGTAAGAGAGAGTCTGCTCTTTGCAATTTTATTCCCATGGCAGTGCTTCAATTACTAGAAGACAGCTCTCATGTGTCTTCTCCTAACTTCTCCCCATACTTCACCTTGGCTTCTTCAAGTTTCCTTCAAATTACATGGACCACATGGTCTGGTTACCTCTTCTGGGCCCCTCAAATTTGTTCAAGAATGCTGTAAAAGGTTGAATTTAGAATAGACTACATTGGCCAGGCATGGTGGCTCACGCCTGTAATCCTAGCACTTTGAGAGGCCTATAGACCAGCAGATCACTGAGGTCAGGAGTTTGAGACAAGTCTGGTCAACATGGTGAAACCTCGTGTCTACTAAAAATACAAAATTTAGCCGGGTGTGGTGGTGTGCGCCTGTAATCCCAGCTACCCAGGAGGCTGAGGCACGAGAATCACTTGAACCTGGGAGGAAGAGGTTGCAGAGAGCCGAGATCATGCCACTGCACCCAAGCCTCAGTGACAGTGTAAGACTCTGTCTTACAAAAAAAAAAGAATAGAATACATTATTCACACACATCTCATGACGTGTGTGATCTGAATACCTTTCAACACTATTGCTTTGCTTCATCTGTACATTGTACTTTCATTAACCAAGCCTGTGATAAAACTAGCTATCTTAGCAGCTATCAGGAAGTTGTACTTAGTCAAATAAATAGTCCAGAGCTTTTATGGGCTATGGATCTTTTCTTCTAAACTGAAGAACTGATAAGGAATAGGACTAAGAGTCTTGAAGGTGAAAATGCAACTTACTGCTCCCAAGCATGGCTGAGACATTCTCAACCTAGTATTGTCACACTGCTGTCCCATGTGGGTAGGGAAGGAAGTGGTAAAAAGGACCAAGAATCAAATTTTGGTAGGAAGATTCTAAGAAACCAAACCACTGCTCCCTCTTTCCTTTCTGTGATGTGAGCTTGGTTGTACATGTTAAGTTAAAGATATCTCTAATTCTGGGCTTACTGTAAGTCCTCAAAATTAGTAACTGATGGAAGAAGTTAAATCCTTCATTATGGCAAATTCACCACAGAAAGGAAATCCATTCAACAGACATTTATTGAGCGCCTGTAAGAAAGCCAATCAACACCAATGCCATCCCTCATCCCTTCTTCTCTAGAAAATTTGCTTTGATGAGACTTCTGTATGTCTTTGCTTACCTGTTTAATACCTAACCATGTTTAATGCCATTGACAACCCAAATTAGAGGCCCAGGGACTGTCAGCAGTGCAAAGGTTAGCAGTAGAAGTAGGCAAAAGGTAATCCATAATATAAGAACAGCCTTTGGAAACGAGTGTTCATGAAAAACCCACTAAGTGTAAGAGACTTTTTTAAACTAATAGAGCAAAAAATAACGATATCCTAAATGACTTACCATCTAGCTACGGAGGAAAAATGCAAATGAAAACATTAAGATATTTTAACAAATTACGCCACAGCCTTAAAAGCTGTCCCAGACACCATGTGGCTTTATTAATTACCATGGGATTACAATGGAAATTTGGGCTGGGCTGGTCAGAGAAGACCTTGTAGAGAAGAGATTGAAGAGATTTGAGTAGGACCCTGAATGATCATTATATTCTAGATAAGCTAACACAAGAGGAAAAACATTCCAGAGAAGTGGGGCCATATGAACAAAAACTTGGAAGGAAGAAAGCCATGTGTGAGTTTGGGGACAGCAAAGAAAACCATTTGTTTGGAGCAGAGTTCATCAACCAGATAAAGAACTAGATGCTGAAAAGGTAGGTTGGAGAACAGGCTACAAAAATATCAGAATATTAGGTAAGTGTGGACTTCATGTATAGGCCAGTGATTCTCAAACTTTGATTATACATCCCTGTCATTGAACATAACTTTGTTCATGTACCCCAAAGCATGTAACTTATTTATAAATTCTACATCTATGCTACTGTACTATTATACACATAATAAAGCATACATGAAACCATTTTAAAATGATATAAAGAGGCTGTAATATTTTCTTCCCATACCCCAATAAGTTGTCCTATGTACCCAAGGGCACCCCCACATTGGAGACCACTACTTACATAGCCAAGAGGGAGGCAATAAGCAGTGCTTACGGAAGACCAGTTGGTGGTGGAGACAGACTGGGTGGGGAAAGAGCAAGCAGTGGCTACTGCAATAGTCCAGGAATGAAGGCAGGGCCCAGGCCCAGATGGTAAAAGAAAAAATGCCAAAAGAACGAAAGAAAGAAAGAAAAAGGATGACTTCAAGAAAAAAATTAAATATAACATTGGGAAAATGAAGAGGGTTATAAGGGTTGGTGTGGAGAGGGAGTGACAGCAAGTGAGCAGTCAGGGAGGCGTCTTTGAAAAGTCAATGTGGTGCCCGTAGGAGTGCTTAATTCCTGCTGGTAGGAAAGGGAGAGATGGAAGGAAAATGGACAGCCTTCAAGAGTTTGACACTAGTTATGTGAAACAGCAGGATTTGTTTTTTTAATAATTAGAAAGGAAAATTTAGTAGGAAAAGAATAAAATCATATGTATTAAACCCCATTTATATATCATATGCTGAGATATCTGAAAAGGAAGTTACTATAGTCAAAATTATTAGATAGCTTTCCCTAGAGAGCACACATCATTTTTCTCTAGTTCCTGGGCCAATGGATGAGAGCGAAAGAAAGGAAAATGCTTCCAACGGTCATCCTGTGGTGATACACTTAAATGCAAAAACACAAGAGTGGAGGAACAGCTCTATCCTAATGAGCTGTCCAAAAGGGGGCTCTTTCATCAGCATCATGCCAAAACCCCAAACCTGCTCAGACTTATCTCCTGTCCCTCCAATGGGCTGATGGGTCCATAAGACCGGCACAGGCTAGACAGGTTGCCAGTGGCTTATGTTCAGTTTTCCCCCTATGGGCTAGGCACTGGCTCTCTTTACTGTGGTGAGGTATCCACACAGTCTTGCCCATTTCCCTTTATAATCAGCAGTCTACTTTTGTAAGATTTTGCAAGCTGGAAGGCTACTTGAGGTCCTCAGATAAAATCTTCTGGTGCTTTCAAAGATCCAGTCAGCGTGTTCTGTGTCTCAGTATCACAACATACTTGCTTCTGGGCTAACCAAATACACGTCAATCCCTGACTGAACGCCACTTGCCTGTGGGCCACTGGATCAGGCTTGCAATGAGGTAAGTTTGTCTTGGATACTTTTCAACTTTCATCAACATTGCAACCCCCAAATGGTCTATTAATTCCCTATGCCCATTCCCAGACAAAGTCAAAAAGGACTCTGGGGTACAACTTTTTAGAAACCATCATAAGTTTTTCTTTTTAGAAACAATCACATAGGAGGGATGAGGACAGGAGGAAAGGAGAAAACGGCAGGTAGACGCAAGGCCGGAGCGGCTTGGAGGCGAGACACACACAGAACTGCCTCCAGGACGCCCACTTACCAGCTTGTTTTTGACCAACTTTTCTATTGCACTGACAAGGTCTGCAGCAGTAGGTACTTCAGTGGAAGCCTGCCGGGCTGCTAGCAAAGAGGAGGACTGCAAGACATCGGGCAGCAGAGGAAAAGCAGATTAACAAGGAAATAAGGAACAGTGATCAGGAATTGAAACAAAGTCCAAAGCTCAGGAAGCAAAGGAAAACATAGAACTTAGCTGTTTAGAGGGAAGAGATTACAGAGGGAGATGGGTGTGGGTATAGTACAGGCATGCCCAACCCCTCGTCAGGAATCTAGCCAGCAGCAAATGGATGGGACTAGGCTCTCCTTAGGCAAGCCTACAAAGGAGGAGAGAGGAGGAGTCACCGACTTCCGGGGAGGCCTACAGGCCAGGCTGTACCTACTGACAGGAACGGCTTGCAGGGCAAGGGCTACTGCTCTGTGGGCAAACAAGACTTTGGCCACTACACAGCTGCCCATTGCTGTCTCGGGGTATGAAGGATTCAATAAACCAAGCCTCAAGTGTGTCCAAAAAAGGGAAACAGTCCTTGCTTTACTATAGCCTTAGATACAGATCTTTATTATGTGTCAGGTCAAAACGCTAGGGGCAGGACTCTTAGAGACCAGCAAGCTAGATACTTCCTCCCTATATTCTCTTCCTCTCTCTTCCTCTCTCCCTCCTCCCCTCCCCCACATGCCCCTTTACCCCTCCGCAAAGCACAGCTGGCTCTGGTGAGGCCCCTGAACTGGAACACTAGGAAGTAATAAAAGGCTTTAGCAGGAGTCCGGAGGCAGCCAGGGACTATCCTGTTCATAGTAAAATGAGACGACTCCAGGCCCTCCCTGTGTCCCTCTTCCCCTGCACAAGCAAGAAAGACTTGTTCCTGTGGTTGTCTGGTCAATGGTTTGGGGCTTCCTGCTCACTGAGGGATGGTGGTTTTTTGTTTGTCTGGCTTTTTCTTCCTTCTTCTACCTGAGAAGAAACCGGGGAAGAAATGGTTAACCCTGCACAGCATGTGTGTGCTTCACTTCCAGCTTATCAGAGCAGAAGGCTGTGGTGTTTCCAAGGCCAGGACATAGGCTCCTTCAAGTTTGTCCCTGAGGTTAGAGAAGAGTTTCAAAAACGCAGCATTTGAAACTCTTTAAGTCTTTGCTTAATCTAAGTTGCTTTAAGTCTTTGCTTCTGAGATGGGAGGAAAAATAATTATAATTAAGGAAGACATAACAATATTCTTTTTCTCCTCTTGGGGGATGCAGGAAAAAGCTTAAGTCTGTGTGGAAAATCAAGTTATCCTTTTTTTGATCTAGTAATCCTACTCCTGGGAACTTATTCCAAGGACAAAAGTCGAAAGAACAAATCTCTATGGACACATTGATCTGTAGGTAGCGGTATCAGCCGTAGTAGCAAACAATGGAAATCCACTTAGGATGTCTCCAACAGGCTGATCGAACACATTATGCAACAGCAAAGAAGCAAAGTTTTCTCCCGCTATTAAAATTACAGCTAGGAAGAAAAACAATACAATTTTAGGGAATGGTAGTAAATAAAACATTGGACGCATCATATGTATATTATAATTACAAAAGTAAAACATACATGCATATGAAAAACATTAGAAGAAAACATGGAGAAGACAATTGCACAATATTACAATGGTGAACTTTAAAAAATTCCTTTGTCAGTATCTTAAAAATTGTTTTAATAAATCAAACTCCATTTGCTAGATGCTCTGAGGCTCATCCCACTCACAAACATTTAGAAAAACATACAGAAATCAAACAGGCAGCACTGAGGAGAGTTCATGTGTCTGAAAGGAGGCTGTTGCCATCTGCCCCATTTCCTACTCCTGGGAACTTATTCCAAGGACAAAAGGAAAGGGCTACACAAATAGGGGCAAGTCAGAATTCTCAGTTAAAAATTATCCAGAAACAATGTAACATCCATTTCTGTAAACAGGCTGTGTTTGAGGGAATTAGGGAGAGAGAGGGTGGTGACCTCATGCAAGCGGGGCCCTTCGATAGAGGGCTGTGTGGGACATGGGTGCCCTACTCCTCGGGCCATGATTGCTGTTTATAAAACACAGTACAAGTAGGCAGGGTCTCATTTCCAACTCAAGGTGAAGCACTAGCACTTCTGCCTCAGGAATCCAGGATGGTGGAACACCAGGCTTCCTACTATGTTTCTTCCCAACAGTCCAAAATCAAAGAGCTGGCCCTGAAGATGGGGGCCACCAATATCACCTAGGAGGGGCTACAACTAGGTGAGTCACATGATGAGGGCAGCTGCCACATCTCAGAGTCCCTAGATTCTGTCCTTTCAGCCTAGCAGAGAGGAAGACTTCGGTTAATGCCAGTGGGTTAACAAACCAAATGCAAATCAGAGAGAATAAAAATAAGAACTGAGGTGTCACCAGAAAGGACACATCAACAGACGGTGCTTTTTGAAATGCCTGCTCCATGGCATTACAGAGATTTGTTTCCTGCTTATATTTGCTGGGCCACCTCCTGGAAGGAGGCTGTCCCACTGCAGGGCAGAGCAATAGAGAACACAGGAGAGCCTGGAGAGACAGCTAGGCAAACCAAGGCATCCACCATCGCCACTGCAACAAAACGTCACTCGGGAAAGCAAATGGGAAGTGCTCTACAGTCAAAACCAGAAACCAACGCTTCCACATCCAGAGTCTAAGACAAGCAGCAACAACAAGGCAAGAAAAACATAGTGATGTGAAAGCAGAGCTGCAAGGAGACTGAGTGACAAGTGAGGGAGAACACAAAGCTGCCCCAAGCCTCGGGTTGGTACCTGCAAGCATATCTAACCTACACTTCTGCTCCAGAACAACTGGGATGATCACCAGGTGACTGGAGACACAGGGGCATCGATATTTCAAATACCGCTGAGCCTCTGTATACCAGTGAGCTGGGGAATCTTGCAAAGCAAAGTCAGGCAATTTCACAAATTAGGTTTGCCCACCTTTGTCAAAACTTTTCCTCATATAGTCACTGCAAAATCTGAACAACACTGGGCTTGATTGGTAGCTGCCATTAGTTAGAGTATAGGGAAAACAACTAACAGGTAGGTTGTACAGTCAGGCACGACAAAACAGTTGTGGCCTGCAACTACCTGGAATTGCTCCTTTTAGGATTTGCTGCTTCCAAAGACAGAGCCATTACCCTTTATCAACAGGACTGGACACCAGGAGATTCCCACTTTGAGAATTCTACACACACACCTCCTTCACTGTCTAGTATGAAGTTGGACCTCCAGGGTTGGGGAAAGGACACCTACCAAATAGACACACAATTAATATCACCATGGATTCATGTGGAAGAAGAGATCACATGGGAGACAGAGTATTACTACCCCCATCACACACAAAAAACAAAATCACGCAGTGCACGTTGCTCTTTTAAGTGAGAAAATAAAGAAGTTCTACCATTTCATCCTGTGTAGGGTCGTTGTCAAAAATCTTCATAGGTGGTGGGAGGGGTGTGTGTGACTCTTCATCCGGCTCATCTTCACCCCAACCTTTCTTGCTCTTCTAGAACAAAAGAGCAGCATTAGTTACTGTGTCACAAGCTAAACATGCTTATGGTTCTGGACTTGACATTAAAAAAAAAAATACATAGGAGGAGAATTCCTCTCTCAACTCACTCCTATCATTTCATCTACAGTTTCCTCTTTTGTAACATGGATATACCTGCTTATTTCAAAGGAGAGCGAGCACCAATGCAGAACACACACATACCCCTCAAAAGAAGCAAAAACAAAAACTATCTGTCTTATCAACTAGCAAGAAAAGAGAAAGCTGGAAGTAGTCAGAGACAGCCTAACTTTTACATTTTTGTAGGGCTATGAAATCATAGCCCAAATGCTGCCAGGTTCAGCTGCCAATTCTCCAGAGGGAGAAATGGCAGGTAGCATCAAATCACAACAAGAGGGAGTCCACTTACACATCACAAAGGATTTCTTAGCCACATCAGTGATCACAGCAGGATTGTGTGCCAAATAAAACAGGCATCTTACTTCCCCAACCAAAACATATCCACTGTCTTTTGGTTACAGAATCTCGGCTTCGTCCAGCCTCACTCTGGCTATGGTCTCTCAAACCTTCCAGTGTGGGTGTTCCTGTTCATTAGTTTCCATGAAGGCCCACTTTATCACTGACTGACCCCCTGATTAAAGTTCTTTTTTGAGCTGAAAGCCGCCTATTGTAATCTTCATCTGTTCATCATAGTTATCTGGAGTAACCTGGGATGGTCTGTTTCTTTTGCTGTGTGGCACTACTTAAGAGACTTGAAAACAGCTATAATCTCCCAGCACAGTCCTGTGTTCAAAGGGAAATGATCTTCACTCTTTTATTCTAAATCTAAACAGGTCTAGCTGGTTTTAATGTAGTCCTTAGAAGAGGTAGGGAACTAATGACCAAATGACTCCCCTCAGGCCCAGGTCCTACTTCCTAATCTGGCAAATACTTTCTATCTGCTGCATGTCCTAGGCGATAGTCTCTAGATTGGCCATAAATCAAACTGGCCAATGTCGTAAGAATAAAAAAGAATCCAAATCACTTAGTCTCAAGATAACACACTAGTGGAGACTTGAGATGACCTAGGTCATGGGAGAAAGAGTATTACTACCCCTATCACACACAAAAAAACAAATCACGCAGTGCATGTTGCTCTTTTAAGTGAGAAAATAAAGAAGTTCTACCATTTCATCCTGTGTAGGGATGGAGACACAACCCCGAGGAAGGAGACATGTCAGAAGGCCTCCTGATGTACGGCTCGGGCCCTGTGTAAGTACCTCATCAGCGCTGTCTCCCTGAGGGGTTGTCTCATCCCCAGGCTTGGGAGATCCCAGGTCAAAGCTCTTCCGACCATCGCGAACTTTCTTCTGCTTTTTGATGTTTCCGTCTGCTTTCCCGCTGTTGAGGCGACGCACAGGACTTGTCAGCCACTTCTTAAGCGTGTTGGTGGAGCGCTTGGGACCTGGGGAACTGTGGATGGAGTTCAGGGAGGGCTGGGCCTGCAGGTTGGCCACAGACTCGGATTTGCCTCCATTTTCACTTGAGGAATGAGAGTATGTATCTGAGGAAAAGGGACAGACAGACACAGCCATGTCAGAGGCAGTGAAGGCAGGCCACCAACCTGGGAGTGAGGCAGCTCCATCCTCAGGAAGCTAGGGCTCAAGGCAGAATGTCCAGGCCAGCTGTAGACCCCAGTCCAGCAAACCCTCTCAAGAACAGCAAGAAAGCCAAACACTCACTCAGTTTTTAATGTATGAAGCACCATTCCAGGTACTATGGCTAGAGGAGTGGGCAGAAGACAGAGACTCCTGCCTTCATGGAGTTTACATTCTGGTGGGAAATACATATAATAGACTCTAACAACAAAATAAGCAAAATGAAAGGTATGACAGGTGGAGAAGTGCTACATTAAAACATAAAGTAGGGAAAGTGATTAGGGAATGCTGGGGTTGGAAGAGGGAGTGCAGGTTGAACAGTTGGTCAGGGACAGTCTCATGACATGACATGTGAGCCAAGGCATGGTGGTGGTGGTGGTGATGCCATCTGGCGAAGGGCATTCTAGGCAGAGAAGCAAACACAAAGATCCCAATGCCACCATGGAGTAAGCCAGGGGGAACAACAAGAAAGAAAGTCAGAAAAGCAGCCAGGAGCTGGGCCAACAAGCTTGTGGTGGGCCAGTGTTATGCCTCTGGTTTTTACCTGGAGTGAAAACCCACTAGAAGACTCTGAGCCAGAGTGATTCGATCTGGCTTATATTTTTTAAAATCATTCTGGTTTCTACATTGAGCGCAAGTGGAAATAGGAATACTGGTTTGGAGGCTACTGCACTATTCCAGGTGAGGGATGTTGGTGGTTTAGAAATAGAGTGGTCCCAATGGTTGTTAGAAGTGATCAGATTCTGGATATGTTTTGCTAGAAGGGCCAATATGATTTGCTGACAGACTGTGCACAGGATATGAAAAAAGAGTCAAGGATAATTCAGGTGTTAGGATGGGGTTTCTGAGATGCAGAAGAACATAAGAGGAACAGGATTGGGGGAAGGAACAGAGGAGTTTAGTTTTAGACATGTTTCAGATGCCCATTTGGTGCCTGAGTGGAGAACTGAATAGCAGCTTGCCATCAAGTCTGGAGCTCAGGGGAGAAAGTGCTGGTGAGCTGGAGATAATTGGGGAGCTGTCAGAGGAGAGACAGGGTTGGAAGCCATGAGGCTGGGTGAGATCAGCAAGGGGCGTGGATATGGATAAAGACAAAGAGCAAGGACTAAGCCAGGAAGATGAGAGGACAAGGAAGTAGCCAGCGAGGTAGGAGTAACACCAGGAGGGCGGGGTGCTCTGGAGGCTGCATGTGGAAAACGTCTTACAAAGGAGGGAGAAATCAGCTGTGTCCAATGCTACCTGATAGGTCAGGGGAGTTGATTGAAGAATGAAGTCTTAAACTTAGCAACATGGAGGTCGTTGGTGACTTTGAAAAAAGCAGCTGTAGTGGAAAGGAGGGGGCCACAGCCTAATTAGAGAGGATGCAAGAGCATGGGCTTGAGAAACAAGACATGGAGTATAGAGAATTCTTTGTGCTGTTTTAAAGGCATAGTGATTGGAGATCAAGAGTTTGTTTTGTTTTTTAAATCTCAGCATGTTGTTTGTAAGCTGTAGGCCATATATTGACTATTTGCAATCCTATAATGTGCTTGCAACAGCCTAAACATTTTATGTGGACTATCATTTTGTTCTCTGTATAACTCTATGAGGCAGGTTCTGTCATTATTCTCATTTTACAGAAGAAGAAACTGCAGACTTAAAAAGTTAACTTGCCTAAGAACATGCAGCTCATACGGGCAAGGTGAAATCTGAACTCCAGAGCCGACTTGAGCACTAAACTCCACTACCAGAGCTGGGTGTGGCGGCTCATGCCTGTAATTCTAGCTACCCAGGAGGCTGAGGCAGGAGAATCACTTGAACCTGGGAAACGGAGATTGCAGTGAGCCAAGATCACACCACTCCACTCCAGCCTGCGTAACAGAGGGAGACTCCATCTCAAAACAAACAAACAAGCAACACTACTGAGCCCTTTCATGTCTATGGCAGCCCGGTTCTCCAGGCTCCCTCTGAATATGGGGTTAAGAATGCGGGTGGAGGAAGAGCAAGTTTAGGGAAAGCCACACTGCCGTGATAAAATAGAAAGGCTAGAAAAGGCGAGATGTGGGCACGCAGGAAAAGCACATCAAGCAAACTTTAATTTTCCCTAAATCCTTGATTTCTGAATACTCATTAAACTCAGAGGAGATCAGCATTAGAATCTACCTACTTTGGCTTTATAGAATGGTTTTGAGTTTTCAAAAGAAAGCCCTTTAAGTCCATTTCAGATGTCTTCCTAGCTCTCACTCCGTGGGTATGCTGTTGTTGTTTCTATTCGTATTGAGAAAGCTAGGATTCCCCAATGTTCAAAAGTTGCACAGCAGCACAGAAGCATCAGCATGCAAATTAAGATCCTCAGTGAGAATTCCTAAGTAATAATTATGTCATGGAGCACCAATTAGGTCATCTATTCTAAAGATATATAAGACAGATTTTTATTTTCATAGACCTCTTATCTAGCTGTACACAGACATTCACACACAATAGTAGAGAGAAGCAGAGAGCGAAAGAGAGAGAGAGAGAAAGAGAGAGAGACAGATAAAATGAAAAAGCAAGATTGAGCACTCAGAATAAAGACAAATTCACAAGGCTGTATGTGATTAATTGCCAGAAGCCTGGTGTGGACTTAGCTGACAAGTCAGCAGAGTTCAAAGGAGGGTCAGATCAATGTAGGCAGGATTGATCTGAAAAGATTTAATGGAAGAGCTGTATGTCAATAGAAGGGTGAAAAAATTCCAAAAGGGAGAAACAGCAGGAACAAAAGCACAGAGGCAGGAATAATGAAAAGTTAGTTAACAGCCAATAATAGATCCTTTGGATGAAATAAAGATTACTGGAGAAAGAGAACCTGGATAGAAACATTAGTGAGGACATTCAATAATAAACCAGAGGAATATAAACTTTATTATGAGACTACTGGGAAATGACATGATAAAAAGGGTTTTTTTTGTTTGTTGCTTTGAATTTAACTAATCTTGGCAACTATATACAGCACAGCTCTGGGCAGGAGGAATTAGAACCCAGAAAGCCACACGATGGCTATATGCACAGGGAATACAAAAAAATGAATGTGAGACACCTCAAGGCAAGAAGTGAACCATTAGTAGTATCTGGGCAAATCAAAGGTGAGTTGTCTCTAGGTATGCTGCTGCTTCTCATCATCACCATGGTCTTGGGAGAATACCTGACCAGCTCCACCTCGCCCACACACAGGTCCCCTGACAGTGCCAGTTTGTGTACTATATTTAAATCAAACACAGGTCTAGGTATTTAAACAAATTATTACAGTGGCTTTTCATATCTACTCATAGACTGAGTCACCTTTTCCTGCAATGACTTTGTCCTAGACGTAGACTAGATGTCTAACCTGCCTGAGAGGCCCTCTGGCCCACATGTAGCCAACAGAGAAGAAATAAAATCCTGAAATAAGGTGAAAGGATGTGGCTGGGCATGGTAGCTCACACATATAATCCCAGCACTTTGGGAGGCAGAGGTGGGTGGATCACTTGAGGCCAGGAGTTTAGGACCAGCCTGGCCAACATAGTAGGACTCCATCTCTACAAAAAATACAAAAAAAAAAAAAAAAAAAAAATTAGCTAGGCGTGCTGGCACATGACTAAAATCCCAGCTACCTGGGAGGCTGAGGCATGAGAATTGTTTGAGCCTGGGTGGCAGAGGTTGCAGTGAGCTGAGATCATGCCACTGCACTTTAGCTTGGGCAATAGAGCAAGAGAAAAAAAGAAAAGAAAAGAAAAGGAAAGGAAAAAGAAAAAAGGAAGGGAGGGAGGGAGGGAGGGAGGGAGGATGCTTTTGCTAATAGCCAGTTGTCTCCAGTGGCTACATCTGGCTGGTCTCATGGGCACAAATCTCAGGCTTTCTGAGCCTTGACCCTGCTGGAACTTTCTTAGATATTGCTAGAGTTTTGTGCATACTTTGGAAAACAACAGCAGAATATTTGTATTTGGAAGCATAAAATTGAGCTTCTAAAATTCTCTGGTATGAAGGATAACTCACAGGGTTGCTATACTCAGGGAATATTAGGAGATTGGCTAACTTGGTTGGCATCCCTTTAAGGAAAAAGCTGTAATCTTATCTCAAAAAATGCCTTGCTGGCTGTGGTCTTGGGTGTGTTGACATTGTTTCTGAAGTGTTTGGTATGGGTCAAACTACTGTTCTCAGAAAGCTGGGTGATAAACATCTTCAGAACACTGGTAATAGAAGCAGGGCCTCTCTGCTATCTTTCTGCTGATAAGCTTGCAGAAGCTTTTCATTCACAAAACCCCAGTAATTCTATGTGGCTCTACTGAATCCAAGCCTTCACAACTTATCAGCATATGTCCTGTCAGCAGAACTAGAGGCCCAGCCACATTAACTGTGCCTTGTGTTACCAGACAAGACAGATGACTAAGATTTCTGTTCCATGGCACACCACTGCCTGGTTTTGAGATTCACAAATGCACATTTTGAATGAAATTCCTCTCACCTGTTGTCATTTACTTCTGCTTTTTTTGCTTTCTATGAAAGTTAATGGCAAGAGTGTAAAGTACAAATTAAAAACCAAGAGTACTCTCCATTTTGTTGTTTCAAGTTTGTTTCATGCAAACAACTGGAGGCATGACATGATGGCCCAAGTAATGGGAATCTCAGAGCTGGAAGCAATGTAATTCATCACCTAGTCAGTGTCCTGTCTTGGGACAAGACCATTTCCAAGACACTACTTTAAATGCCTGGTTATAAAAGAATGCGGCATCATTTAGATTAGAAACATCCACTTAGTTAATCGCCTCTTCAGAGGGATGGGCATATTATGCTCATCCCATCTTTTTTTGGAAAATGACTGCCATGAGCTGCTGGAGAACTTATTCTACTGTCTTTCCAGATAAAACAGTTAAGTGACAGCTTTGGAACAAATACAACAATCCTATTGTTC